GAGCGTTAGTTGTAGATACAGGGTGTGCAGGTCTGGACCTGACCACACCCCAGCATCACAGAGGCCACTTGCTCCCAGTCCAAACAGGCCTTCTGTCACCTCCTAGCACACTCCAATTCTTCCGAACTCTGCAGGCTTTGTGCTCGCTGCTCCCCTGGGCTGGCCCTTTCTCCTCATTCTGGCCACATTGTAAAGTCATCTCGTTAGGGACCTCCTTTAACCGCCCCACCTAAATTGCCTCTCTCATTCCTGGTCTCTCTTCAGTCACTCTCTACTTCTCCACCTGATTTTATTGTCTTCCCAGCACTCACCCCACCCTGAACCATCTCATCTGCTTCTGTGTTTACTGCCTGACTCTCCTTTATACCCTCAGTTGTGAGTCAATGACCCGGTCTCTCCTGGTGAGGTTTATCCCCGAGTCTTAGCACAGAGACTAGAACAGACTGGGCCACAGGGGTTCAGTGAATGTTTGTTAAGCGAATGAGTGAGCTATGAATAAGTAAGTGGGTGGATGGATGGATGGATGGATGGATGGATGGATGAGTGGGCCAAACTGAACCTCAGTGGGAACAGGCCTCCATATGTGATACCAGGCCAATAGGCTATGGGTTTTCTCAAGTGCATCTTGACAGTTGGGTCCTGTGCTGAGACCATGGAGTCCCACCATGGGCTCTGGAGGGTCCAATTTTTGGCTATACCCTCAGTTGCCAGCACAGGGCCAGAGTCGATGTCCAGAAACTGGGCATGCCTATGTCCAGTGGATGAACAGAGTCAAATTCCTGTAGCAGGAGCGATTGGGAAGTAGTTAAAAGCATGACTCAGGAGTCAGGAGTTGATGACCTGGGTTCAAATCTCAGCCATGACACTTTCTCACTCAATGAGAGACAGAGCACTTTTCTTACCCTCTCTGGGCTCCAATTTCCTTAAGTACCAAACAGATGATACTGGTAGTTATCCCATGGGGATATTGTGAAGACAGAGTGAGACAATGCATAGAAAGTGCTGGCACTCCATAAGGGCGCAACACTCTAACATCAGAGCCCATGGCTCCAGCACCTGCTCAGGGCCTGGCCACAGCAGGCACCTGGTAGGTGCTTATTAGGTGAGCAATGAACTCATGTGAAAAGCGATGCCACCTTCAACCTCCCTCTCAGGCCATCCAGTGTCTTCTTCAGTTGAGACCCCTCCAACACCTCCCTTTGCTGCACCTGCACTGCCACCCTACCCTGAGCTATAGCTACATCCTGGCATGGTGTGCTGGAGAGAAGGGCGGGACCACATTGATTTGGTTTGCTTGGTCAGAGAGTTCATTTGGCAAGCATGGTCCTGTTGCCTACTCTGCGAGCAGTGTGAAACTGAATTAAGGAACAGAATCCCAAAATATCGGGGATCATCACAGACTCTCCCAGTTGGGAGGAGACATTCAGGCTTTTCTCCTTCAAGGACGGGGAAACTGAGGCCCAGCTTGGGAAGCAGACTTGCAAATTGATGGTAGAACTGGGACTCACTCCTTGACGCCTTGGCTTCCAGAGCTGCAGCCCTAAAGGGAGTGCTGTCCTCAGAAAGGAAGCCTTATTGTGTCCTGAGAAAAACTCAGGTCATACTTGGAGAGTTTTAATTTGTTTAAAAAGGCTATGACCGGCCGGGCGCGTTGGCTCACGACTGTAATCCCAGCACTTTGGGAAGCCGAGGCGGGCAGATCACTAGGTCAAGAGATCGAGACCATCCTGGCCAACATGGTGAAACCCCGTCTCTACTAAAACTACAAAAAAACAAAAACAAAAACAAAAACACATTAGCTGTGTGCGCCTGTAATTCCAGCTACTTGGGAGGCTGAGGCAGGAGAATCATTTGAACCCAGGAGGTAGAGATTGCAGTGAGCCGAGATTGCACCACTGCACTCCAGCCTGGTGACAGAGCAAGACTCCATCTCAAAAACAAAAACAAAAACAAAGCTACAACCACCTCCCAGACAACCTTAAAAATGAAAACAAACAGAAACAAAAGCAAAAAATCTCTGATTGGCATAAACAACAAAGAAGTGGTAAACGGGGGACTGGCCGAGTCCGGTGTCCCCTCTCCTTCAGTTCCACCCTGCTGGGGTGCCACCAGCACTGACCCCGACCCGAATCCCTCACCCCCACAAGGCAGCCGTGGTTGTGGCGTTGCAGCTACACATCTACACACCATCTCTTCCAGGCTTTTCTAGAAGTCTCCAGTCAGCCTCCCTTGCATCTCCATTGCCTAAATTGGGTCTCGTGCCCATTCCTAAGTCAGCCCTCGTGGTTCCTATTGGCAAAGACTAGGTTAACATATTTCTCCTTTCAACAAATATTTATTAAGTGTCTGCTATAGGCAGCATACCTGTGAACAAAATAGAAGAAAATTCTAAAAATTGACATATTCTAGCAGGAGGATACAGACAAAAAACAAATAAGTAAAATATGCAATACTGTTAGATGTGATCAGTGCTAGGGAGAAAAATACAGCAGGGAAGGGAGAAGGGGAGTGCACGTGGGGGAAGTAGCGATGTTAACTAGGGTGGTCTAAGCAGAGACCGAGGGAGGTGAGGGAGTCAGCCATGAGGGCATCGAGGGGAAGAGAATTCCAGGCAGTGGCAACAGCAGTGCAAAGGCCCTGAGGAAGAAGTATGCTTGGTGTGTTTCACAAACAACAAGGAAGCCAGATGACTAAAGCAGAGTGAGGGAGGGGATACTGTGGGAGAGGGGTCAGGGAGGTAAGTGGGGGCAGGAGCTATGGCCCTTAAGGCCCTTGGTGAGGATTCTGGCTTCTACTTTGTTCGTTGTTTTGTTTCTTGAGATGGAGTTTTGCTCTTGTCGCCCAGGCTGTAGTGCAGTAGCACCATCTCCGCTCACTGCAACCTCCGCCTCCCAGGTTCAAGTGATTCTCATGCCTCAGCCTCCTGAGTGAGTAGCTGGGATTACAGGCGCCTGCCACCTGCCCGGATAATTTTTGTATTTTTAGTAGAGACAGGTTTTCACCACGTTGGCCAGGCTGGTCTCAAACTCCTGACCTCAGGTGATCTGCCCGTCTTGGCCTCCCAAAGTGCTGGGATTACAGGTGTGAGCCATCATGCCCGGCCTCTACTTTGACTTAGATAGGAGGTTCATGGAGGATTTTGAATGCAGAAATGTCCCAATCTCATTTAGGCTTTAAAACAGAGGTGTTTAATCTTGGCTGCACAGTGGAATTACCTGGAGAGCTTTTAGAAAATACAGATGCCTGGGGCCCACCCACAGAGGTTCTGATGTCATCAGTCAGGGATAGGGCCTGGGAATCAGGATTTTTAATAGGCACAGGAGAGTCTACGTGCAGATGAGGTTGAGAGGCATGGGTCTATGTGCCGAGGACTCCCAAATCCTTATCTCTGACTCTCGACTCATGACTCTCTGTTGATGTCCATATTTTGATGTCAGCTTCCAAATTAGGTCTCCATTTGGATGTCAAATCATCATAATAATCATCTCCAATTTAATCGAACCTCAATCTGATTCCTGACCCCTCCCCAAGCCTGTTCTTCCTATGTCCTCCGTCCAGTTCCTCAGGCCAAAACCTTAGTGTTATCCTTGATTCCTCTGTTGCTTTAATACCTGACATCTGATTCTTTAAAAGACCCTGCTCACCCTACCTTCAAACATACCCAGAAAGCACAGCCACTCACACATCCACGGCCCTGCCGCTACCCAAACCGAGGTCCTCGTGACCTCCGGGTCTTCTAGCCCCTGCCTCCAGTGGCACGTCTCAAACCTGGCTTCTGTGGATTCACGTGGAGAGCTTTAAAAACTGTGGATGCTTGAGTCCTCAGAGTCTGATACAACTGGTGGGGTGCAGTGGGGCATTGAGAATTTTATAAGCTCACCAAGTGGTTCCATTGTGCAGCCAGAGTTGATGAACCTCTGATAAGGATGGTATTTAAAGAGAAGGATCTGGCAGTGACCACCTGGGGAGAGAATACAGCTAGAGAAGCAAAGAGGTCAGAGGCTGAGCACAGGCTGACTCTGCGACCTGCAGAGGCAGGGAATGAGGTGGACCCAGGAAGAGACAAAAAGGAGACAGACCCAATCATTGCCGCAGGGGTGGGAAGGACCCTTGACCAATCAAAGGCACTGCTTGAGCTAAGGTAGAAAAATCAGCTTCCCTAGGGCCCAGGGCAACATGGAGGAAGAGAGAACGGATACCTGGATCGGCTTCTCCTGGGGAAAGGGAAGGAACAGGAGGGATGTTGGGTGGTCAAAAAATATATACTAAACCAATAAAGATGATAATGGTAATGAAAATAAAAATAATGCTGAGAGAGAGAGAGAGAGAGAGAGAGAGAATCTTCCTCTTCTTATGAAGCCACAACTCGTACTGCATTAAACCCCCACCCTTATGATCTTATTTAACCTCAGTGACCTCCTAAAAGCCCTAACTTTTGACCACACCTAACTGCAAGGGAGCCTAGAAAATGCAATTCAGCTGTGTACTCAGGAAGCCAAGGAGCGCATGGCTATTGTTGAAAGCAGTGCAAGAAGCGGGTGGGAGGGTACCCCAGATAGATGGATCACTGTGTGCCAAAGTCTGGAGGAATGCCAGCAAGGTGAACTGGGGCACCGCCACTTGCTCAGCTGTCTGGCCCTGGGTGTAGGAGTGGGGAATGGTGGGAGGGAAGTGACTATGTTGGGCAACAAGATTTCCTGGCCCTTAATTAGCCAGGTGTGGTGCCCTATGCCTGTGGTCCCAGCTACTCAGGAGGCTGAGGTGGAAGGATGGCATGAGCCCAGGAGGTCAAGGATGCAGTGAACTGTGATTGCATCACTCCACTGCAGCCTGGGCAACAGAGTGAGACCGTGTCTCAAAAAAAAAAGGAAAAGATTCCCTGGCTCTTAAAGAGGGTCATAGGCAGAGCTCATGCTCAAGACCATCACTCAGGGGTAGCTTGGCTCAGTTTCTTCCAACTTAGACAGTCGAGTATTCTGTGAACGTATGGTTTCAAAGGATTCTTGAAAACACTGTAACCATTCATTTATTAACAGGGAACATGCTCATATTGTTCCACATTTGAAAAGTGAAACGAGTCAGTCATGACAAACCCCCTCCCACCCTGTCTGTCAGGCACACACTCCTCCTCCTCCCTCAAGGCAGCCAATGCTTTCAGTTTCATGCATAATCTTGCAGTGATGTTTTATGCAAATATAAATTTTACATATATATCCATTCTTCCCTTCGTCCAGTTTTGCACGAATTGTAGCATGCTGAACATAGTATCCTGATCCTTATCTTTGTCTGAGATTTTTTTCATGGTGATATGTAAAGAGCCTTCTCCACAACGTAGAACTCCACTGTATGGCTGGATCACCAGGATAGTCCCCTGTTGATGGACAGTTAGGTTATTTCTAATTTATAAATAACCTTGCAATTAAGTTTGCATATGTCACTTCATGCAGGGATGGATCTATTTGCAGGATAAACTCATAGGAATAGAACTTCTGGGTGAAAGGGTTATACTCTTCTAGCTTAACTGGCTATGAACCGCCAGGCCACTCCACATATCCTTCTTCTGTCTGAGTCCCTCCCTAGTCCCACCCAATGATGCAGACCTGGGCGACAGTCCTGAGGTGCTGAGCCCAGCCATGTGGCCCCTGGCATGGTTCCGTGCCCCTTGGAAGAGGGCAGTGCCCAGAGTGGTCTCCTCAGATTCTTGGCTGGAGACGTCTCAGCGAGGTCATCCCGTGACCCCCCTGCCCTGTGGTCTCACATCAGGGACAATTGTTTCCCTGCCTCTCTTCAACCACCAGCCCAGCCCCATTCCTACCCCCTCCTCCAGTCCCACGACTTCACCCCTTACCCCAAGAACAGAGGTAAAGCCCGCAGAAGGCCAAGGCAGCACTGTGATAGCCAGAACAATGTCCCCTCCAAAGACATCCATATCCTAATCCACACAATCTGTGACTATGTTGCCTTACATAGCAAAAGAGACTTCAAGATATGAAGTCAAGGATCTTGTGATAGAGAGATTATTCTGCATTATTTGGCTGAGCCCAGGGTAGTTGCTAGGGTCCTTAAAACATGGAGAAGGGAGGCCGAAAGTGAGAGTCATAGAGAGTCTGGAAGATGTTATGCTGCTGGCTTTGGAGTGGAGGGAAGGGTCGTGAACCAGGGTATATGGGTGGCTTCTAGAAACTGGGAAAAACAAAGGTATGGCGTCTCCCCTAAAGCCTCCAGGAGGAATGCAATCCTGCTGACACACTGGTTTTAGCCCAGTCAGACCTATTTTGGACTTCTGACCTTCAGAACCGGAAGGTAATAAATTTGTGTTGTTTTCAACCACTAAGCTCATAGTAATCTTTTACAGCAGTAACAGGAGACTAATTCTGTTAGTCCCCGAACCACCCCCGCAGGAGCCCAGTGCTACTTCTCTCCTGCCTCCTGAGCTGCCTTCCTTCTTGCAGAAGGCCTGGCTTCAAATCCCTGTTCTCCTTACCTACTGGGTGCTTTGGGGCACATACGGCATTCCTTTGAGCCTCGGTTCTCTCATCTGCAAAATGCAGCTCATGATCAGACTGTCACAAGGTTGCTGGGAGGTTAAATGAGATGATGCTTGTGAAATCTCTTAGCAACCGTGCCTGCCATGAAATCGGCGCTTGATATTTTTAGATGTTGAGCATAATTCTGAAACTTGCAGTTGTGCTCCCAGAACCTACTCCTGCTCTGGCCCTGGCTAGGGCCCTCGCTTCCCCTGCGGAGATGGCCCCCTTTCTGCAGTGCTTACACCAAGCAGTGACCCTCCGGGAGGCAACTCTCTCCTGCAAACCAGCCCCAAGGAGCCAGGACCCTGAGGTGCTGTCCTCAGCAAAGAGGAAACTCAACCCAGGTTCAAATCTTTTTTTTTTTTTTGCCACTTCCCAGCTTGGTGGCACTGGGGGACTTATTCCACCACTCTGAGCCTTGGTTTCCCCCTTTGTAGAATTCCCACAGTGAGCCCCAGCCCAGGAGGTTGGCCCAGGAGTGTGCTCACGACTGGACACATAGCAGGTACTGGAGAAACAGCTTCAGAGCACTGCCTTCGCAGCCAGGACCAGACCCAGACTTGGAGGACCCTGGGACCCACACAGTGTGTAGCCCCCTCTTTAAGAAGGAGCATCTGAACTTACAAACGTAATTCTGATGGGGCCTAGGCCAGGGAGGCGTCCTGAGGCCTGACCTCCATTTGCTTCTGCTCTCTGCTCTCAACCCCTCCTTCTCCGTAATGACCGGGCCAAACATGTTTCAGAAATGTCCCTCCCAACCTGCCTGAACCAGCCCCAGGAGCCTGAGATTTTTCTGAAACTGTCAGAGGCGGTGACCACCTTAGCCTCCTAGCAGGATCCAAGCTCCCTTGGTAAGTGAGCAAGACTTTTGATGGAACAAAGGCAAAATCTCTATCTGATGAGATTAGCTCTTTGGAAAAGAGCGCACAGTTCATCAGTTCGTCTCTACCTTGCTCGGACTGTAGAGATGCCAGATTAAAACAGCAACAACAACCAACAAAACCAAGACATATGTGTATATATATGAATTCAATTTAATTTGAATTCCAGATAATGAATAATTCTTTAGTATAATTATATCCCAAACATTGCATGAGACATTTAGCTGGATGTGCTGCATTTTGGCTGGCAGCCCTGTCTGTTGGAGACACAGCCACGTGGCTGTTCAGATTCGGGGTGTGTTCTGCAGAAGTGTTGCTGCTTTGAGAAGCATCTGGGGGCCCTTGAACTTCAGCAGAAGAATAACCAGTGGCAGAGGGAGGGATAGGGGAAGCTGCCCCCAGGCAGGTTGGTGAGCGTTTAACACCTGTGGCCAGAGCCAGGTGGTCAGGGCCTGAAGTGTAGCCTTAAATGAGACTTGTAGCCACCCCCAGAGCAAGTGTTGGCACACCCATTTCTGCAGATGTGAAAGCCAGAGCCCAGCAGGAAAGGAACACCTTGTGAGCACCTACTATATGCTGGCATTTTACACGCATTCGCTCATAGTTAAGAGTGGGCAGATTTTGCAGTTGTTGCTATTAATGTAATCCAGGCGTCAGAGAAGCACGATATGAAAAATGAGTCTTTTTCCCCACGTTTGAGAGCGCTCCACCTCTCAAACCTCTCAGCGATTCCTCAGCCTCAGCACTATTGGCATCTTGGACCAGACTTTTCGTTTTTCTTTTTTTTTTGTCGTGGGCTGACCTGTGCACTGTAGAATGTTTAGAAGCATTCCTGGCCTCTAGCCACTCAGTGCCAGTGGCACCCCCACCCCTTCTATCTGTGACAACCAAAAACATGACTCCAGACATTGGCAAATGTCCCGTAGGAGGCAAAATCGCCCCTGCAAGAACCACCGCTCCAGAATGACTGTTAATCATTTTCTGAAAGGAAAATAAATATTTGAACCCCAAAATCACTAGGCCAAAGGAAAAAGTCAAGCTGGAAACCGTGTCGGGCAAACCCGCCACCCATTTTCTTCCCGAATAAGATAGCTACAAAGATTTTTTAAAGCTACATACCTTCCTCACAATTTTCCCACAGGGAAATTCCTTGTGGGCTTCAAGATCTTCACCCTAAAGCAGTTCTGTCGAATTGCATCCTGGCAATGTCAACCAACAGCCAGTCTTCACAGCTGCGGGACAGAAGGTCACCCCTCTGCTCACCTGAAACAAATGCCTGTCTGATTGCTTCCTCTGCCCTATTGTTTATGTAAAAATGCTGATTCACTGAGCCAGCCTAAGGCATAAGTGACTATTCTTCTACGCCCCCACCCCCCACCACCACATGTAAATTGTGTATTCAGTGAAAGGCTGATTAAAGACTCAAAAGAATGCGACTATTTGTCTCTTGTCTACCGATGACCCGGAAACCCACCCCTTCCACCTTGCTGTACCGAACCAATGTGCATCTTACACATATTGATGGATGTTTCATGGCTCCCTAAAATATATAAAAGTAAGCTGTATCTCGACCGCCTTCGGGACAAAGAATTTTTGGCAAAAGGATTTTTGGCCTCAGGACCTCCTGAGGCTTTGTCACGGGTGCGTCCTTAACCTTGGCAAAATAAACTTTTTACATTGATTAAGATCTGTCTCAGATACTTTGGGTTCACACTTCCTTGAGAATATGTTTAGAATATTTTGAAGCACATGTGTGTGCCTTCAAAAAACAAAACCAAACAACGAAAAACAAGCCAAGGCCAGGCGCAGTGGCTCACCCCTGTAATCCCAGCACTGTGGGATTACAGGATCTCTTGAGCCCAGGAGTTTGAGACCAGCCTGGGCAACATGGAGAAACCCTATCTCTACTAAAAATACAAAAAAACTAGCCAGGTGTGGTGGTACATGCCTGTAGTCCCAGCTACGTGGGAGGATGACTTGAGCCCGGGAGGGGGAGGTTGCAGCGAGCTGTGATTGAACTACTGCACTCCAGCCTGGGTGACAGACAGCTTGTCTCAAAAAATAATTTTTAAAGAGACAGGTTAATATATACACCTCTTTTATCACTTGCCTTTTTACTTACCAGTATACCTTGGACATCTTTCTGTATACCCCACTCATGAATCTGCATTTCTTCTTTGACAACTGAATGGCATTTCTTTGTGGGTACTGCTGCCATTGATGTAACCAGTTCCCTCACTCTTGAGGCAGTAGAGTTGTTTCCAGTGTGTTGCTGTTACAAACGATATTCCACTCAGCATTCTCACACATGTGTCTAGATATATTCATAGGATAAACCCCTAAAAGTGGAATCGCTGGGCCATAGGTATGTACATTTTTAATTTGATGTGCCACATTGTTAACCAGAATAGTTTGCACCAATTTACTCCATTGCCACTAACATCTTGATGAAAAGTACCAAACATTTAGTGAGCATTGACTGTATTTCATACACTATGTTAAGGGATTTGCATGTGCTATCTTATTTAATTCTCACTATAATTCTACTGGTAGGAACTAATAATATTTCCATTTTACAAATGAAAGAACTTTGGCTTAGAGTGATTAAGAGTATTTTCTAATCTTGTCAGTGACAGTACTGGGATCCCAACCCAGAGCTCTCTCAGTCTAAAACCTGTTCTCTTCACCAATACATTCACTTTTCATAACAATTGTGTGAGCTGGGCCCCATTATTTCTTTTTCTAATGGGATTACTGAAGCTCCAAGTAGTTAAAGTGACTTGCTCAGGGACATAGAACCCAATCACAAATCTGAGCCTGACTCCAGAATCTGTATTCTTCCCTTGAGACTCCATGCCACCTCCTCCAGGAAGCTCTCTGGGATTACTCCAACCATCCTCGTCATCTCACCCCCAATAGCAGCTCCTTGGGAGCTCTGGGAATCTGCAGCAGGAATTTTAACTCAGAGTGTGTAGGTGTGTGGGTGTGTAGGTGTGTGGGATCTCACAGATGTTAAAGTCAGACAGACTAGATTAGAAATCCCTTTGCTATCTACCTTCTGAAGTGAACTACGGCAAGAGACCCTCTCTCGGGGTCTCAGTTATTTCATCATTATGATGCTTTTTATTACTGTTGCTAATAGTAGCATGATGATAGTGATTACCCCTTATGGAGACCCTTCTCTGCACCACCTTTTACAGTGGGTAGTGCCTTAGTTTAGGTCCCTCAGGAAGCAGACACTGAGACAAGGATTTGGGGCAAGGTTTTTATTTGGGAGGTGACCCCAGGCATCTTGGTGAGAGACTAGGGAAGTGACACAGGGAACAGAGTAAAACCATGGGATGGTGTGTGATGGACAGGTAATTGCCAAGGCTAGCTGGGCTCTGAGAAGTGGTGTGGCTCACGCCATGGAATACCCTGCCCAGGCAATCCTCAGTGGTTGGGGGTCGCTCCGGCTTTATTGACTGCAAGCCATTCCTGCAGCCTCAGGTCGGGGCTGGGGTACTGTCTGCAGGTGGCCAACAGCACAGCCTCCCTGCGGGCAATTTACAGGAGCTTCAGAATGAATTAATAACCACTCACATTGTGTCTGCCACTGACCTTGTGTTTTACTTACCATTGACCTAATCGCCGTTGACCTTGTGTTTTTTTCTTGCTAGTTCTGTCACTCTTTGGAGGGTCTATGCCTCGTACCTCACCTAGGTTTTTCGCATTACCATTCGGGGCATGGCGTAAACCTCCATAAATTAAGGCTGACCATTTGAATCCTTCAGTCATTAGCAAATATTTACTGTGTACCTACTATGTGCTACGTGCTGTTTAAGAAATCAGTAGACTTCATTGTTTTGAGCAGTTTGAGGTTTATAGAAAAATGAGTGGAAAATACAGAGTTCTCATCTACTTCCAAAGCCTCCCGCATCCTGTTAGCACCTGTGATTAACATCTGGCATGGATGTGCTACGTTTGTTACAACTGATGAGCCAATACTGATACATTTTTATTCACTAAAGCCTAGAGTTTACATTACGGTTCCCTTTTTGTGTTGTGCATTCTGTGGCTTTGCACAAAGACATCGTGACACGCAGAATGCCACTATTCCCTGTGATCCACCTATTCAGCCCTCCCTCCTTCCCGCCCCTTCCCTCCAACCCGTGGCTCCGGGGATTTTTTCAGTGCTGGGAACACAGCTGGGACACAATAAAATTTCTATCTTCGTGGAGCTGACATTTCGGTGGGGAGAAGGATAATACTTAAGCCAGCAAATAACACATCCCCGGGTCCAGGAGATGATAGATACTGTGAAGAGAATGTGTGTGGCTAGGGGAGGGGAGCTCTTGTTTAGGCCTCAGATTCATATGTTGATGCCCTAACCCCTAGTACCTCAAAATGTGACCATATTTACAGAAAGCAATTTTTTTTTTTTTTTTTTAGACAAAGTCTCGCTCTGTCACCCAGGCTGGAGTGCTGTGGCACCATCTCGGCTCACTGCAACCTCTGCCTCCAGGTTCAAGTGATTCTCATGCTCAGCCTCCTGAGTAGCTGGGATTACAGGTGTGCACCACCACATCTGGCTTTTTTTTTTTTTTTTTTTGTATTTTTTAGTAGAAACGGGCTTTCACCATGTTGGCCAGGCTTGTCTCAAACTCCTGGCCTTAAGCAATCCATCCACCTTGACGTCCCAAAGAACTGGGATTACAGGCATGAGCCATGACACCCAGCCAGAAGGAAAGAGGGTAAGAAGTTAAATGGAGCCATTATGGTGTGCCCTAATCTAGTATGAATGGTGTCCTTATAAGAAGAGGACATTAGGACACAGACACACACAGAGGGAAGACCATGCGAATGAAGATGGCATCTGCACACCAAGGAGAGAGGCCTCAAGAGAAACCAACCCTGCTGACATCTTGAGCTTGGGTTTCCAGCCTCCAGAACTAAGAGGCAATAGATGTCTTTGGTTTAAGCATCCCAGTCTGTGGTATTTTGTCATGGCAGCTGGAGCAAGCTAGCACAGGAGGCACGAAACCTGCTCTTCCATGTCCCCAGCCCTCCCATCCCACGCGGAGGTGTTAGGGAGCATGATCTACTGTCACTGAAACAATCTGGGTCCTGGAAGCTGCCCTGAGGCGGCCTTCCTTTCCACCTCGGGGGCAGAGCTAGCTGTTCTCTCTGCCTTCCTCCATGACTTGCTGCTGGTTGTGGAGGCCACTCACGGAGAACCCACTGGGCATGTCCAAAACAGCATCGCAGACACCTGCATCCTGGCAGGCAGAGGCCAAGACCCCATTCTTCCTTCCACTTAGCAGTTGTGTGACCTTGAGTGGGTTACTTCACCTTCAAAGCCTCAGTTTCTATATCTGTTCAATAAGGGGAAGGGATGGTTCCTGCCTCCTGGGGGGTACCAGGGGAACCAAATGAGCTACTGTGTGAGAAACACTCAGCCCAGCCCAGAACACAGATGAGGTTAGCAACCCTTTCTTCCCGTGTAGCATCTGTCTTTACAATGAGTCTGAGGGGGAAACATTATTCCCATTTTACGCCAGAAACCTGACCTAAGGGCGCCTTGCAGTGACCAGCCAGTCAACCCACAGCCTTGCAGACGGGACCAACCACCCCTGGCTGGTTCTGCCCCCAATCCTCTGGTGGTACAGGTGGTGCAGTTGGCTGTGGCATCGATATCACTGACGCCCAGGCTGTGGGCCCTGGCCTTGTAAATAAGTCTCAAAAATTCAACTCCACTGTCCATCTCTCCCCAGCCCCTTGAGTCAGCAGGACTGCCCTGAAACAGCTCAAGAACAGAGTTTCTATGACGTTTCCAGCTTTTAATATTCCTAGTTCCCTTCTAAATCACCTCTCTGGACCTCAGTTTCCTCATTTGAAAAATGGGTAGAAGAATTCAGTGCTTTCTCAGGCCTCCCCTGCACAGCAGAACCATCTAGAAATTCTGCCAGAAATGCCACTGGGGGAAGTCATGCCATGGTGACAGTCACATTTAATGACAGCTCTTATTGACTGCACATTTCCTATATCAGGTACTTTCTATACATCCTCTCATTTTATGTCCGACAAAGAGCCTATGAGGTGGTTGGTACTGTCCCTATTTTACAGATAAGACAGAGACCCAGAGATGCTCAGTGATATTTTCAAGGTCTCATGGCCAGTGCATGGTAGAGTTGAGACTTGAACTCAAGTCTGTCTGGGTTTAAAGCCTGTGTCTCCCGCATGCTGACGCTGACCCCCAGTGTGTCTCATGGCTTACAGTTTTAGGGTTTTGTTTTTAGGCAAAACACTGTTTTGTCTGAATTACAATTCACTTCAGGTTTATTTTAAAAATTCATAACAACACAGGTGACTGCTGTATTG